CTGCAACCAACTCACTCTCTCTCTCTTCTCCCCCAACTACATGCGAACTCTTCCTTCTCTTCTCCCCATCTTCTTCCATAAGACCTCCGATCATCTCTTCCTTCTCTTCTTCCCGTATTTCCCTAAGCCCCACCGCATATCAAGGCTACCGCCTCGTGACGCCTCGATTGGATACCGCCTCGCACCACCAAAGGGGCTACGTTGCTCACCGCTCGATTAGCCACTGTAGCCTGATCTGGAGCTTCGCCGCCGCTGCCGCCGCAACACCTCCGTCGATGACCGAATCCACAGTCGATGACTGCATGCGCAAGGGTCTTGGATCTGGAGACTTGCGTCGCCGCCGACCGAATCCCCAGTTAATGACTGTGTGCGCAAGGGTCTTGGATCTGGAGACTTGTCGTCGCCGCCGCAGCACCTCCGCCGCCGACCGAATCCCCAGTCGATGACTACATGCACAAGGAGATGGAGATCTGCTGCTCCACGCGCCGGATCTTCTGCTCTCCGTCCTCTGCAGAGAGTTGGGAAGAAACGAAGAGGGAAAGGAAAGGAAGGCCATATCGGGTTTTCGGATAACCGGAAAAGTAACCGTTACTGGAAATTCGGTAAGCCGGTTAATCGTCAGTTTCTCGGTACCGGTTGTCGGCAGCAAAAATTGACATCTCAGTATACCGATAACCGGTAAATCGGTAACCGGTTATACCGATACCGACCGATTACCACTCCTAGGAATGGAAACAAAAAATCAAGATTCTCGGGTATAAGGCAAAGGGGTGGCAGCTGCAGAAAATAGGGCAGGTGGGTTGCTAATGATGTGGAAGGAGGAGGTGGAAGTTGAAGTAAAGGACAGTGATCTACATTTTATTGATGTGCAAATTAAAATGCCATGCTCTCAAACTGTGTGGCGACTTACAGGCTTATATGGATGGCCGTAGAGCCAACACAAGAAGAAAACTTGCGAGTTGATCCAAAGGCTCCATAGGCAAGTCCATATTCCATGTCTGGTTATAGGGATTTTAACCTCCTAATGGACTACTCAGAGAAGAGTGGCAGATGTAGCCCAGACGAAAAGGAGATGGAAATGTTTCGTGACTGTCTGGATAGTTGCGGATTGGTGGATTGTGGCTATTATGGAAGACCTTTCACATAGGAAAATAATAAATCTGAAGACGACTATACAGAGGAGAGACTTGATAGAGCTGTGGGAAACAAGGAGTGGATGGAGGTATATCCACACATGCGATTATATCACTTAGACAGGTGTGGATCTGACCACATCCCTATTCAGCTCAAGTTAGATCTAGAAGAGGAAGAAATTACTTGGGGGTGGAGCTTTCGATACGAACTGTATTGGGAGTGACACGAGGATTGTGGAAAAGTGGTGGAAGAGGGCTGGATGGAAGTTGGGGCAGGAAATCTGATGGACCGAATCAAGAGTGTTGAATCAAAGCTAAAAGGATGGACTTGTACAACCTTTGGCTCACTAACTGACAAGAGAAAGCGAGCTGAGAAGGCTTTGAGAGTGCTGGAAAAGAGGAAAAGGACGAAAGAGGTTCTACTTCAGAAGAGGGTAATCGAACAAGAGCTAAATGAGATTATCCTTCAACAGGAGATAAAGTGGAAACAACGTTCCAGGGCTGGCTGGCTCAAGGAAGGTGACATGAATACAGGTTATTTCCATCGAAAAGCGTCGGAAAGAAGACGGCGCAACACCATTAAAACTTTACAAGATGACCATGGACAAACGTTTGTGGGACAGCAGGGTGTCGTTTGTGGAATGTGGTTGGACAAGCAGTAAAAGAGGAGTTAAGGGGTTATTTGGAGCTAGGTGAATTCCCGCATCAGCTTAATCACACGCTTATAGCTCTAATACCGAAGGCAAAAAAACCAAAGACACCATTAGAGTTTAGGCCAATAAGCCTATGCAAGGTCCTCTACAAAATTATGTCCAAGGTTCTGGCGAATAGATTGAAAAGAGTATTGGATCAAGTGATTGGTGAGCAGCAGAGTGCTTTCGTTCCAGGTAGGTACATTACTGATAATTTACTCATTGGTTTTGAATGCTTTCACGCAATGAAGCAAAAGAAAAAGTCTAAGAAAGGATTTCTAGCGAGCACGCTTGACATATCTAAAGCGTATGACAGAGTGGAATGGGGGTTTCTGAAGGCAGTGATGAGAAAACTTGGTTTTGCAGAAATATGGGTAAAACTTATAATGCATTGCATAACTACTGTGACTTACTTGATTTTGGTGAATGGTCACCAATCTGAAATGTTCAAGCCAGAGAGAGGATTCAGGAAGGGAGATCCAATCTCCCCTTACCTTTTCATCATGTGTGTGGAGGGATTATCAGCTCTAACTTCAAAGGCAGTTGACGAAGGAAAAATGCATGGTATGAAAGTTTCAGTTCGTGGCTCCTTTGTGTCACATTTGCTTTTTGCGGATGATAGCATTTCTTCTTAAGAGCTACACCTCAGGAATGCTGCCAGCTAAGAGAAAGTCTTAAGTGCTATGAGGCTGAATCAGGACAAATGGTAAACATACAAAAGTCGGAACTAATATTCAGCCCGAGTGTGAATTCAGATACAAAAAATGGCTTGGTCGCCATATTGGAATGAAACAGGTGGAACATTACACCAAGTATTTGGGTCTACCCACTGTAATTGGAAGGGAAAAAAAGGTTGTCTTCGATGTCCTTGTCAATAGGGTGCGTAAAAAAATCAAACACTGGAAAGGACTTACTCTATCAATAGCTACAAAAGATGTTTTGATCAAGGCTGTAGCGCAATCTCAGACTACATATATGATGTTAGTCTTTCTGATTCCGCAAGGTGTCCTAAATGAAATCAGGAGAGCAATCTGAAGTTTTTGGTGGGGCCAGCAGAAGGAAGAACGTTGTATCCCTTAGAAGGCATGGAAGGAGGTGTGTAAGCCTAAGGAAGAGGGTGGGATGGGGTTTCGTGACCTACAGGCTTTCAATGTCGTATTATTGGGGAAGAAAATCTGGAATCTACTTGTTAATCCAGAATCCCTAGCGGCACGCATTCTGAAAGCCAAATACTACCCAAATACTGACATTCTACAGGCAAGAATTGACCCCAACCTGAGCTATACTTGGCGAAGTATCATGGCTGCCCAAGATTTGGTAAAGAGTGGATTAAGATGGAGGATAGGAAATGGCTCTAATGTGAATATATGGTGAGAAAAATGGTTACCAGAGTCAGAAGAGCATGGTTCTCATGTATTATCACCTGAAGTGGAGTCCGAGGAGGTGAGAATAGTCTTTGATCTTATTGATCATGAAAACAGGATATGGCGAAGCAATATCCTGCAGTTCTATTTCAACCCGATTGATAGGGGACGAATTACTGGAATTCCTATCCCACGTCAGTCTGCTATGGACGAGAGAGTTTGGTGCCACGAAAGAACAGGTGTTTACTTGGTTAAAACGGCTTACAGACTAGCCTATCGAACCAAGAACAACACTGCGGATGTAGACCACTAAGACCAACAGAATGAGGAGGGAGGGCCAGAGGAGATAGGGCAAGGGTTGGAATCGTATGATCCCATGAACTGGAAACGACTGTGGAGACTCACAATCCCAGCAAAGGTAAAAATATTTCTATGGAAGCTAGTGCATAATATATTACCTATAGGGAAGAACATTGAAATCTGAAAAGAAGAAGCAGCCACGGAATGCCCTTTTTGCCATCTAGAAGAAACTCAAAATCACATTTTTCGGGAGTGCCAGTGGGCGATTCGTGTTTGAAAGCTGTCGAATTTTCGACCCCTGTTCGAGATGGAACCAAATCTTTCGCCAGGTAGCTAGATGTGTGAGGTAATGGAGAGGGTGGATGATGCAACCCTAGAACAATTTGGGCTCATTCTCTGGATGATGTGGAATGAACGAAACAGCCAGATGTTCAATCGGAAAAAGGCGGAGGAATGGGAAGTGGTTGGGAAGGCTCTAGACTATTGGGAGGAGTTCCAATCCTATCATACTAAAGAGCAACAGATCAGAGAAGCGGAAGAAGTTACCTGGAAAGCGCCTCCACGGGGATGGGTGAAAGTGAATGTTGACGCGGCGGTGATGAATGAAGGGACGGGGCTGGGGATGGTCCTGAGGGATGCGAATAGAGCTTTTCTACGCGCTGCGGTTCGACGAACAAGAAATCGCTGGCCACCAGAGATAGCGAAGCTGAAGGCGGTGGAATTTGGTCTAAGCAGCTGGAGAGGAGCGGTCATCTCCAGGCGGTGGTAGAAATGGATTGTCAGACACCTGCTTTTGCTCTACAGAAGGAGGACAGATCGAGATTGGAAGCGGGTCAGACGGTGAAAGAGATTCAGGAGGAAGCTCAGCGGTTTGAGTCGATTAGATGGAGCTTCACTAAACGAAAAGGAAATGAAATGGCCCACTGTTTGTGTGATTGGGAAGCCCATGCAGAATGGGTTTCAGAACCAGCTTATTTTCTCCAAAGCTTGTTGGCTAAGGAGGCTTTAATTTCTTAATAAAATTCAGGTACCTTACCATAAAAATAAAATAAAAACTAATCCCGGCAGAGTTCCTTTTTATAATTTTGTTAGTGGATTATTATGATTTTGGGGTGGTGGCGGACTCTTTTTTGTCCGCTGTTTTTTCTCTCTATCAACAAAATATCTTTTTATTTTTAATATTGAAAATGACAAAAGTCACAAAACTATCCTTCCTACAATTACTGATCAGAAGGTTGAGAATTTTGAATTGAACATGTTATGATGGAGAACCTCTATATAGTAATGGTAGGATTTACAATCATGAATTCATGCTGATCCGAGTCATGGTTGAAGCACTGAAACCACAGAATATTGGGTCGGTTACCTGGGTAACCGGTAGTGCGCACATAATCACGACTGTGATTAGCTACGACGTGCTTTCCATGGCTTGTTCGTTTTTGCAACAATGAAATGTGAGAATTGTTGCAAAAATGTAGTTGTCAACCTAACTATATGACTACAACCCACGTCGATAGATATTCTCTTTATTATTGATAAGACCAAATTGAATATCAAACGAATAATAATAAAAAAAACGTTAAACAGCCGGCTCCTAAAACAAATTATAAAAAAAAAATAAAAAAAAATAAAAAACGTATACGATATCACCATCATCCAAAAAATTGGACCGAGAGTGGCTTATATATATAGATCACACCATATCAAGTGGAAAAATTTCATTATTAGAGAGAGGATCGATCCATCGAAACGTTTCGTGATCAAGTGCTGATAGTTATTGGCCCAATGTGCTGAGTGAAATGGGGGCTCTGAAGAGCTTCCTGAAGCAGTTCCTCATCGTCCCACGAATCTCTGTACGTCTCCAAGTGTACATCCGAATTGTCCAGAGCGACAAGACACATCTTCTTCCTCCACTCTTCCAGATGCGGGAAGCCAGTCTTGTCCGCGTATTTGTCAGCATACTGCGTTTTGCAAATGTTGCAACAACAAAAAAAAGGTTCACAACTTAGAGATCGATCGATAAGAGTGCGATCCAACGATATCAGTACGTACGTACCTCGAACTGGACGATGTCGTGGGTTTCGTGTTTTGGGATGCCGTCGGCTTCTCTCTGGCGGTAGAATTCCTGAACGGAGCGCATCATGTCGTCGGGGGAAGGCAGCTTCCTTTTCCCACTCAGGACTTGTGCGACCCATTTGCCTTGTGATTCGAAGAAAGGGAAGGCTATGATCTGCACTAAAAAAAATTAGTGATTTATGGTTTCAACGATTAGATTAACTTGGTATATAATCGTTCTTGCACTATAGCATATAAAGACATATCTATATAATACAATTATTTATAACTGAATTTGTCACTAATAGTAAATAATTTCAAACTCATATCATACGTCACCAAAAATTTCACAGATCGTTCAAATTATCACAAAAGACATCATAAAATCTTTTCATTAAATTCAAGTTGATTAGTGGATCACGTACACCCGACAAAGAGGTTGAGAAATGAAGAAGTGTAAGCATAAATAAAATCATTAATTAATTCATGTTGGATGGACTTAGTTTACTTTAAAGTTTAAAGTATCCCTTTTCTCAATTTTATTTTAGTAAAACAGTAAATCAGTGGACCAATCAAACCATGGTGGTTCATCTGGTTTCATTTCCAACCGTTAAAAGTCGTTCAATCCATCCTTAGTCTTCCAAACAAATGGACCGAGTCGTAATTGTAACTTAGTTTGACAATTCCACTGATCCAATTGTTGATCCAATTCGGTTCTTATAACAAGACTTTCAAATAAAAATTGAAGATGTGTGTAAAACTTGCCTTTCTCGGGATGCCCACAAAGGAGAGGGAAGGAGCAAGTAAAGGAGGGAAGGTGTGGTGATACAAAGGCCCCACTCTGTTATCATCCACCGTTACTAGTCCTTTGGTGTCAAGAAACGGGAACGAGTATTTATACCTAATACGGGTATCGTGCCATGTCACCATCATGTATAGTAAGTAATGTTGAATAAAATTAAGTTGAATGTGCAATTCGATATAATTAAGTACATACCCTGTGCAATACAAGATAGCGTCGGCAACCACGAAAGACCCATCCACGAACAGAACCCTCCCATCTTCTTCGAGCGACTCAATCTAAGATCGAAGGTGGAAATTGTTTCATGTTTGCAAACGAAACGATTGATCGATTCATTTTTTATGAACGGGGACCCAAAAAAAACCAGTACCTGAGGTCGAAGGTGGAGTTTTTCATGTTTGGAGATAACTTTCGAGAAGCCCTCCATGAAATTCTTTTGTGATCTTGAACTGATATGGACTTCTTTTGCAACTCCCGCGAGCTCCATTGATATGTCTTGCGCGCTTAATGAGTTCCCCACCATCACCACCACCTAATCAATCAGTGAATTAAAACTCTCATCATAAACATGTAATCAATTAGTTAGATATCGAGCCGGTCCAAAAAAAAATACTCATGTCCGTCTAGTCCCGTAACAGCAGGAAATACCCGTCCCAAAACATGTCAAATAAGGTCGAGTAAAATGAGTCACGGATCAAAATCTAGCTAACCTGATTTTGGAATGGTTGTGGAATCCTGTACACGTGGCTATGCATTTGCTTCCTCTTCCAGGTCTTCATACCTAAAACAATCAAACACAAAAGCTAAGACTACCATTTGTTTCATTCTAATTATGATCACAAAAGGTTCATTAAAATTGTTTTCAAAATGAAGCATACCAAGTTATAAACCCTAGCTAATTATACGTACCTTTAATAGAGGGCAATTGAGGATAAGAGTACTGACCATTACCCACAACCACAGCATCAAAAACCTCTTCCACCACCTCGCCATTCCTCTCCACACGATCTATACTAAGGTCGTAATCGACGTCGTTCACATCACCATTACCACTACTTATAATATCGTCGTCGAGCTTTCTGCTCCTGACGACCCATTTCAGATCATTGCCCAAATCCCCACAAGCACCACTACCCTCCAACATCCCCACATACTCAACCCTAGTATTGAACCTAATCAATTCCCTAATCCCAAAATGGACACTGAACTCCTTGAGGTACAGCCACAGCTCTCTGTGGCCAGGGAACCTCCTTGTGTCCCTCCCAAGTCCTTCCTTCACAAGGAATGGGAAGTCAGTGTAACCCATGATCTCTCTTGGAGAGAGCAGCCTCAGTGAATTGTAGATGCTACTATGGACCTCCATGAACTTGGTCTCTCCCAATGGATCCTCCTTATCGACGTCTGGATCGAACAACCACTGACCACCTACGTCGTGTTTTTGCTCGAACAACACCACCATGTGCCCTTCTTTCCTCAGCTCCCTGGCTGCCACCAGACCTGAAGGACCTGCCCCGATCACACACACCGACTTCTTCGAGGAGAGGATCGTAGATTCTAGTTCGGTGGTGTGATTGCTTGGTTGATCCATGGTGTGGAAAATGATATGACAAGGTTGGATGTGTGTCTTCTGTTTTGCTAAAGGGTTGTGTGTTTAGTTTTGAAGAGGATGGGAGAAGAGTATGAGGGTTTGGTTTTATATTGATGTTGGTAGTTGGCAAAGGTGGGAGTCGGGTTTGGAAGCAAATCCATGGAATTAATTGGAGCTCAATTCACCACATGATTATCAGCCAAGAATAGAAACAATGATATTGGATGACAAAAACATGTGGTTTTATTAAGAAGGAGACACACGTGACACTTTGTAAATCATAGGATTCAACAGTCTCTAATCCCTATCTCTCATTTCTCTTCCTTTGTTGGAAGTTTGAGCATCAAGTTTGGTTTCTTGCAACTTGATAAATGTTATTTACATGTAAGGTGAAGGTTAGGAACTTAGGTTAGTACATATAGATTGTTACTATTTTAGGTGCGTGTGGTTGGTAAGGAAAGCAAAGTGGAAATGTACAATGCATATCTATGTGGATTGCTAGACATATGTGGATGGTCACGAGACATGATATTAAATATATAAGCGTAGGATTTAAATTTTGGAAATTTTTTGGATTCCCCACACTATAAAAATAACCAAAAGAAAACCAAACTTGAGACTTCTTTAATTTATTGTTATTATTATCATATTATATTATCCTTTTTAGCACGATCTAAGATTCTAAAACAAACATTATTTGATAATTTTAGGGTTCAAATCTCGACAACACTTTGAAAATTCCCACACTATGAAGAAAAATTAAGCAAAACACAAGAATTAGCAAGTTAATTGCATGAGATATCGGGGTTAATTTAGTTGGGTATCTTTCTTACAATTTAGGGTTGGTATGAATCGCATGTTTAAAAAAAAGAGCTTGCAATTTACCTTAGAAATTCTAATAGGACGATCAAGATTATAATACACAAACATTATTTGATAATCTTAGGATTGAAATCTCGACAACACATGAAAATCCCCACACCATGAAGAAAATGCAAACAAATTACAAGAGCTAGCAGGTTAATTGCATGAGAAATCAGGGTTAATTTAGTTGGGTTATCTTTCTTACAATTCAGGGTTTGAATGAATCGCATGAAAAAAAAAAAAAAAAAGCTTTCAGTTTACCTCAGGAATTGTAATAGGACGATCTAAGGTTTACACAAACATTACCTAATTGTATGATTCAAATATTGGGGAAAACCAAAACAAAATACAAGATCTGGCCGGTTAATTGCATGAGAAATCAAGGTTAGTTTGGTTGGGTATCTTTCTTACAATTCAAAGCTTACTGTAATTGCATATTTGGGAACTGCTTGCAATTCACTTCAGGAATTGTGATAGTACAAAGTAATCGGATAAAATTTGGTTAATTTAGTCTACACATAAATATAAGGGAATGTGAGTAAAAAAAATATGACACGTCAGCTGCTGCTCCACAACCCGCACACTGCGGAAGCCCTTTTCCGTCATTCAATCCTTTCCTATTCCTACTCCTTTTCCATCTTTTTCTTCCGATTTCTGCAAGAGGTCGGCCCTATTTTCTCCAATGTCCGGTTGAATCGACGGCACCCCTTTCCTCCTTCGTCTGTCTCTTCCAATTTTCGCCAGGCCGATGGTAGCTTCCCCCACTTTTCGGTTGAATCGACGGTGCCCTTTGCCCACTGCGCTTTCTGATTTTTGGAATTGCCTACCGCGGTCGTCAGAAGAACCATTGCAACCGAATAGAGAGAGCATCAAAACTCCCCTATTGCTGACAGCGCCCCTTGCTCACCCTATCTCCCCTTTTCTTTGCAGTCTTTTCCCAATTCCAGGGATTCATCATCGGCGCCCCTTGGCCACCGAGGCTTCGTCGTTCGACTGGCGGATACGCAAGTTGCTGCCCCTTCTGTGATTTCTTTCTTTCTCCTCGCCAACACCCTTTGGCGTCCGACTATCGGCTACACAAGTTGTTGCCCCTTCCATTTGGATCCATTCTAATTCACAACCCTCTTAGCTCGAGCTTCTCCCGGAGATTCGGTTGCATGCAACTAACTCTCTCAATAGATGATGGATTATGTTTGAGACCCGCTACCCTCGTACGACCCTCCGGTCTCCTCTCTTGCTAGGCGTCAATCTGCACACACGAACAAGGAGGGGGCGCCTGGGCCCGTTAATCCTCCGACGCCCAAGTTAGTTTCCCGGAAAAGAGAAGTGTCTCCAAATCCAAGTTTTAATGAGAGAGAGTCCAACCTGTGTAAATGCTACCAACTGCCCCTATTTATACTCACCAGAATCGAGGTTGATCCTCTCTACTTCCCTGCCTTCATTTAATGCTTTTGTCCCTTTCTGGTCAGACATCCCAACCACTCTGTCAGACTCCTGGCACGTGCCAGGCGCCCGCAGACGCTGGCCCACGTGACAGCCTGACCCCATTTGGCTTCTAGTGTCTTGTCCTTATATCCCCTCCCTTTTGTTTGGGCCTTGCCCCCCTATTGGGCTGTTTGTGAGCCCACACTGGCGCCCATTGGGCTTTATTCATGATACCCCCAACAATTGCCCCCCCCCCCCAGCTAGGTGCTCATAGCTCTGCTTCTTAGCGCCTAGCTGACTCAGTTATTGTCTCGTCCTTCCTTTAGACTGCAGGCGCCCAGATTCCTGAGTGTGTCCGTCCTTATGGTGTCCGACTCCTCTTTTGGCCCTCTGTTGCCGTGTTGTCTATTCCGACCTCAGTCTCAACTTCGGCTTGCTTGGCCTCCTTGTTTTGTCTTCTTTGCCCTCTTTCTCTTTCCCCCCTTTTTTTATAAGGCGCCTCAGTCCCTTACACGCCCTTATTCGGCCTCTTTTCGGGCGCCAGATTAAAGGCGCCTCAATCCCTTATGCCACCCTCATGGGCGGGCGTTTGATATGGGCCCCCACGTTTTTCTTGTTTGAATTTTGGCAAATATTTCGAATTAAATTTAAAAAATCCTAAAAGAGGATTTTAAACCTGGCCAAAATTCCAACAAAAAGGAAAAGGTGGGGGGGGAGCTCAAAAGCCCGCCCTTGATGGTGACACGTGGCGCGTGACGCGCGTCTTGCCCCCCTGCTCCTTCGTTCCTTTAAATACCCCCCTCCCCTTCAGTCCTTGTCACTTTCCACATTCTCACCTCTCTCTAGAATTTTCGCTCTGACTTCTCTCTAGATTCTCTCCTGACATCTCTCTAGATTCCTCTGCACTTCGTCAGCTTTTCCTTCTACTCGTCCGAGAATGTCTTCACAAGCAGACAAGGTTGTTGGCCAGGGCGCCTCCACTGCTGGGGAGGAGGCAAGACCAGGCGCCTCGAATGCGGGTGGCGAGACAAGGCGCCCAAGTCGAAGCGGTAAGGAACTTCTTTGCTCTATTAGTTGTTTCCCTTGTCTTTATTCTAGCTCTCTAGGGTAGGGCGTCACTTACTCCGCGTCCATATTGCGCCTGGGTCGTTTATTGGTTTAGAGAGGGCGCCTGCGTCGACGTCCGCGGGTCCATCAAGCGCCTCCACTCCAGGCTTCATGCCCGCTGATGGGTCCTACAAGATTTCTGTGTGGGAGAATTCGTTTCCGCCCGATCACCTCCCGCAGGAGACGGACTCGTTGCCTTTCGACGTAGCGGGCCCACAGCACACTTCCACGGTCACCTTGGCTCGTGTTCATGAGCTAGTGACCAGTCTCCAACTGCCCCGTGATTGGTGGTATGCGCCTCCTTCCCCTATTTCACGAGTGGGCGTCTGCGGGCCTAAGTGGATAGGGGTGTATCAAGAGTACTTCCGCTTCGGGCTGCGGTTCCCCCTTGATCACATAATGGAGGGTATTTTGACGACCTGTAGCTGCCCTTGGGGCGCCTGTCTCCCTCGGTGATGGTGGTGGTCATCTTGTTTAAGCTGTGCTGCCGCGAGCATAACGTGGAGCCTACCTTCAACCTTTTCCCGTATTTCTTCAAGATGGCGCCTCTTGACAACTGTTTGTCACTTCAAAAGAGGAAGGGGTGCCCCTATCACTTTGTGGAGAAGTGTCCGAAGTTGGGGCGCAGCTGGTTTAACGGGTTCTTCTTCATGAAGGCATATCGAGACTCGTTTTTCGAGAGTGGGGGCGCCTTCCTGGGGAGTGGAAGCTGGGGAGTGTTGAAGGGTTTAATACAGACGTCGAGTTGTCCCCCGCAGAAAAGGCAGGCGCCCCGCTGATTTGCGAGACGCGCGTAAACTTGCGCAAGACTGAGAATCGCCCTCCAATTTTGTAGGCGTATTATAATGATGGTCCGTAGGCGCCCATATATTGTGTCAATGTCTTTATTGCCTCGTCCTGTTGTTAATGAATTTTGCTTCTGTGCTAACTTACTTAGCGATGTGCAGGATCAGACTTCACGAGCATTGCAAAGCTCATGAAGAGCCGCCTTGCTGCCATGGCTGGAGGAGCGCCCCCACCAAGGCCCAAGGCGCCTGTTGCGGCTGCTCCGGAACCGAAGGCGCCTACTGCTGCCCCCAAGAAGCAGAAGAAAAGGGCGGTGAAGGGGGGTACCACGAAGACCGCCATCGTGGCGTCTTCGGCACCGGAGGAGGAGGAGGAGGCGCCCCACGTTGAGGCGCCCACGACGGAGCCCACGAAGCAGGAGGGGAACTCCGGGGAAGAGGAACCCGAGCCCTTGATTAGACGGGGGAAGCGGGCTGGCTCCCCCTTGGGTAATGTCAGCAAGAAGGCTGACAAGGGGAAGGAGAAGGTGGGCGCCGGCGCCCGAAGCGGGGGAGTGGGCGCCTTCGAATACAATCTGAATGAAGAGGGGCAGTGGGTAGGCCCCGATGGGCGCCTCCCCATATTCCAGCCCACACGCGCCGACGTTGGGCGCATCGAGCTGCCATGTTCCCCACTGGTGGCTGTTGACAGAGGCTGTGCCATGGGAATGGCAATTACGGCTGCCAAGATGTGGCAAGTGCCGTCGGAGGTGAATGGGGATCACCTCTTTGCTGAACTGGCAAAAGTGGGCGCCAAGGTACGTTCCCCTTTGTTTGTGCTCTTGAATTTTGAGTTTCTTTAACTTTGCATAAGTGTACTAACTCTTTGTATTTTGTGTGTGTAGATTCTTATTTTTGCTGAGAGAGGCGCCCGGCGCCTCTCTGAAACGAAGCGAGAGGCGCTTGAAGCCTCTTCTTCTGCCTCGCAGTTGCAACGCGACCTTGATAACGCGACGGAGCGTCGCGAGCAACTTGTGAAGGAATGCGACGAGACGCAAATGAATGCGGCCTTGCAAGTGTCGCAGCTTCAGGGCGCCCTTGACGAAGAGCGCAATAAGTCGGCCACCCTTCAGGCTGAGAAGGAGGCGCTGGCGTAGGAGGCGGGCGCCCAGGCTAGTGAGATTGACATCCTCAAGGAGGAGAAGAAGAGGTGGCAGGACGCCTACAAGGACTGCAAGAAGAATCTGAAAGAGGCGCGGAAAGAGATCACCAATTTGCGCCACTCTTTGGATACCTTCGAAGAGTCCGAGGCTGGGAGGAACATGAGCGTCAGCGCTATTTTGTCTGGCCTCC